ATATGTCCTGAGTCTTAATTGACCTTGGAAGGCTAGGGCCAAAATGTTGACTTTCCTTGTGGCCCTCCTTTTTCTCTAATTTTGGTCTGCAAACTTAGGTTGTTAACCATCCAGAAGAGAAGCTTATTGTTATTACCATACAACCTAGGCTGTTGAGCTTAACCTCACAATCTGTCTGAATATCAAACATCTTAGGCATAACGTGGAACAGGTATTCTTTTCAGAACTTTGCCTGCCCTTGGGAATCTGTTTTAAACAATGAAATACTTTTTGTTTTTGTATATGAAAAACAGTATATTTACATTTTTACATTTGTAAAAACCATTGTTAGCATCATTTTGATTAGTTGGCAACCTGAATATATTGCAGTATTTAGACAGGATAAAATCTCTCCAGGATGAGAGCTAGGCTTTTAGGCATAACTAAAGAGAAGAGTGAAGAGTAAGTTATCTCAGTTACAGCTCAAGCAAGGTATCTTCTAAAGTCTGTTTCTATTGAGGTGGGATGACTGGAAAGAAGGTCAGGGTTGGAGAAGGACAAAGAGACCTGTGGAAATTTCCAGCAGTAGGCTGGGATTTTCCTTTAGTCATGATTACTCAGGCTCCTCTGTGGAGATGACAGGTAGAGATAACAGTCTGGCCAGAGGGAAAAGGAAGCCCCCAGCCCTTCAGTCCTACTGGACCACCTGGGAAGCTGAGTCTGAGCTCTGAGGCCTCTGCCTCAGAGGGTAGTCTTACTTCCAATGGCTGCCTTGGCAGGCAGGGCATGGCTTAGGGGGCCTCTTATGGCAGTCCCTCTTAAGGTGGTCTGGATTTTGACAGCAGTAACAGATGACTGTAGTCACTGAGTTCTTGGAACCCCAAGAATCAGACTAAGAGTCTGTTTCTCTTAGTGCTGCAGCAAAGGCAGCTGCGTTTTCTTGGTCTCTTTGTTTTTTTCTCTTTGACCTCTTCCTCATCACAGTCATAAAATACTGAGGAGACAATTTTTTGCTAATGTATCAAGTGAGATGTCTGGAGCAAAAGCTATCTTTTGCAGCTCTTTTCTAATATCTGAAGCTTACTGAGTAATAAATTTATATTAAGAATAATCTGTTTCTCTGCTGAATTAGGATCTAGGGAAGTGTGTTTTACCAGTGCCTCTATTAAATGTTCTAAGAAAGCACAGGGGTTTTCATTTTTCTACTGATAAATAGCTGAAAATTTAAAACTAGAAGTCTTGGTTTTAGTTCTCTTTAGATTGTCAGAAGTACATACTTGAAAAGGTTTTTAATTCCAGTCTCCTGCCAGGCGAATAGGCCAGCAGGAGTCTTTGGTAGGAACTGCTTGGGCTCCCTTGGGAACTGGGTGTCCTGCTGGCTGTCTATCTTCGTTCGGGCTGTTTAAAATTAACATATAATATTCATCCCCAAATGTAATAGCAGTTTGTGATGCTGCTTGTCTCTCATTAGAGGCCAATGTTTAATTTAAGATTAACATTATAT